GCTTTAAATAAAAAATTAATTGACTTTTTATTGTTATTGCAAAAATATTTTAAGTTTTATATTGAGTGAAAAAGTATGCGGATACTTTTGTCCACTCTCTGTATAAATCTTTTTATATAAATGCTAAGCTAGCATATATCAATAGTTGCTAGTATAAATCTAAGTCTTGTTTAGATTTAATTTCCTTCTTTTTTTTTTACTTTTCTTTCTTAATCTTTACATCTTCCATACGTTTTATAATATCACTTAAGCCTAAATAAAAAAAAAAATAAAATGACATAATAGCAAATATAACAATAAAATATAAATTATATGTATTTACCATATTGAAAAGAGCTGGATTTTCCCATTTTCTCGGGTTCTTCCTTTTCTTCCTTAATCAGTACTTCCTTTACAAGTTTGATAGTACCACTTGGGCCTGGGGCTAAAGAAATAGATGATATAATGAATCACAGAAGTTTATGTAAAAATGACAAATAAACAATATTGAAATAAATTATTTACCATTTTGGAAATAACGGAGTTTTTTCTTTTTCTTTGATTCTTTCTTTTCTTTCTTAATCTTTACAACTTTGATATTGCCACTTGTGCCTAAAAAAAAAAAAAAAGGAATTATATAATTAATCAAAAGTTTATGTAAAATAAAAGAAATAAATCAAATGTATTTGCCATTTTGAAAAGAAATAGGGTATTCATTGGGTTCTTCCTTTTCTTCCTTAATCTGTTTTTTTACAAGTTTGATAGGGCCACTTGGGCCTAAATAAATAAATAAATATAAATATATAGAATATAAAATGAATTACACACGTTCATGTAAAAATATAACGGAAAGAAACATCATATTTACTTACCTTTGGTAAAAAAGAAAAGTCCATTCTTGACGTCTTTATTGACAGCCATTCGGAAACGGTGGTTTGTATTAATGTTGTCGGAAAGTTTATATGTATTGACAATGTACTTCTTAATAGCTTGGCGGCTATTATAATAAATGAAACAAATATGTGAAAATTTATTAGTAAGAAAGAAAAGACTTTCATATGAAAAACGGTAAAAAATCTTCATAACCTGCTTCCTTTACGGTTCTCCAAAGCGACGATAGCTTCTGAAAATTAATATAATTCATAACGTAAATTAATAAAAGTTATTTATGCATTTCTTTTATTTATTTTTTCTAATCAAGAAAACCTATTCTAAAGTATTTCGTCGGTTCTCTTTTTGAAATTAACAAAAATCAAAAGACAAATTCCATAGTTCTACCATGAATCATATCTTCGTATTTCGGATGGTTTGGTACCTTTTTTGGTTTAGCGGGACTTGTGCTCTCTTTTGCTATTGTTTCTTAAAGTTTCGTTTGGGTGAAAAGAAGAGTTATTTACAAGGATACGTATAAAGAACAAATTTCCTGAAGTTGAAATGGGACGCGTTAAGTAATAATAAACGTGCTTACCTTGTTGTCTAAATCCGAGATTTCGGTGTTCAATAGTTTTTGCTGATGGTAAAATTTTGCAAAGTTGAAATCCATTGTTACGAAAAGAAGAGATATTTTTCATTTTCCAAATAATTTGACGCGATTTAAGTCACATGCGATTGATCGTCATAATCATTGTGCGACGTGAACATAAAAACAAACCGTGTTCGCAAATAAATTCTGAATTCATTTTATGATGTAAATTTTGCTTAACAACAATTTTTCCGCTTGGATTGATCTATATGATTACGTGATTCTGTTTCGTCATATTCCCGCGGAAACCCGATGGTTGAATTGCCTTCCAGTGAAATTTAGTGAGAAAATATTCTAACGTATGAATAAAAATTTTAATACTTAATTACATGCAGGAACAATTGACCGGATTCAACATGATGCGATAATAAGTGATTCCAAGGATGGTTAATTCAATTGGATATAAAGGAAAAAAAGTTAATATTTGTTTTCGATTCAATTTCACACATACTTGCCTATGTCATATTTATGGTTACACTTCAAGGACTTGTGAAGATGCGATTAAATTAGTTTATAATATTTAGGTGTATAGTCTATTTTTCCTAGAACTTTCACGCTCATATATAAGCTCCAAGGGAATATCCGCTGATCCAATATTTTCGTGATGTGATCATACTTGCCGAGTTTCAGCCCATGATGATCAATGAAGAAAAAGGTTAAATGTATTGCAAATAATTATCATGCAAAATAATTGTTTTTCGACATCTCAATTGACACGAAAATTTAACGAGATAACAAACTCATCATCGATAAATGCTTCTCGGAAAAATCTTACCGGATCGGTCGTGCAACAGGTTCGTGCAACGGAATATTTCTCCTAATAATTCTCTGTAAACTGCGGAAAATGTTCGACAAAAATACAAGGTCGTGGAAAATGCTTTCAATAATTTATTGATCTTTTTAATCCCGTTGATTTTATCAGAAAAAAGCGAGGTTATTACCGAATCGATCTATCATCAAGGCTTAATTCGCAAGTTTTTCAGCAAAGTCGTGAAGGCGTCTGTGAAATTTTCCCTAAAGTACCAATGTATATGGCAAGTATAGTCAGTTATATCATTCTGATTAGATCATCTACGAAGAAAGAGAAAATTTAGCTCTAGCATCACGGACCCTAGTGAAATATGATCACTGGTAGGTTATCCTCGCGAAATCGAACGAGAAACTCACCAATTTTTCAGCATCACAGGCTCCGTCGATTTTCAGCGTGAGAATATACTTAGTGACAGGAATTCTGTGATTCCTGATGAACTATGATTTCGATTCTTGGATCGTGGATGAAACTACCCTAAGGAAGGCAAGTAAATTTAGTAATTATTGATAAGTCTTTGAATTAATACAAAAGTGCCAACCTTCACTTTGATCATAACGGCGGGAACAGAAAATAATTTCCGAATCGATCTAGCAGGCATTGCTGCACCGCGACCTTGAAACTTTCTCAACTAGTCTATATTTGAAGTAAGCTACCTAGTTGATTCAGATCTGGTGATGCGTTCATACTCATACTTGTCTGGTTCAAGATCACGGGTAGAGATATAAACTTACAAATTGCATTAGTTAGTTTTTTTATCTGCTTTGCTTAAATTAAACAAAATCCAAATGAAAATTTAAATAAAATTTCCTACTTATGAATAAATCAAAGACAAAGGAGTATCATAACAACTTCACCAAATTGTTAAACAACTTTCAGTTTTTTTAGATATTTCAATCAAGCATGCTGGGAATTTTTCTGCGCTTTAATATCTAATATTTATTATCGTATAACTTGTATCACCTGATTTCCGAAATCATGCATTTTGCGCAGTAACACGAAAAGAAAATCCTTCTTGACTTTCTTATACAATCATGCCAATTTTTGAATAATGACGTTTAGTGGATGTAATGATTAATAATCGCCTCAATTTCTTACGGTCATGAAATATTTCCAAGGTTTATAGAATTAATATAGATCATAATGGTAAGTTCAAATCGTAGTCTTCTATTTTCTACATACATAAGCTAATTCTTGCTTCGGAATTAGGCTTCAAGATATGCATGCAGAAAAATTAGTCTTACTGGTGGGATTTCTTTATAAAAGAACTTAGCTAGACCTTAACTCATTCGGGATGGAGAAAATGATTTTTTTTTTTTAGTATTGCGAATCTAACAGGTTAATGGTTTGTACTTCCACGTATTATTTAGTAGTATTGAATGTACTGTAAACGTCATCATAATTTAAAGTTTCGTTCCCAATTCTTTCTTTTTATTATAAATTTCAAAAATTCTGTACATAAAAATGGAATATATACTCGCATCGGGCTTGTAATATTTTTAACTTGCATGTTAATATGAGGTGCGTACGCATCGGAAGTTTTTCTTGGAAATGTTGCGTTCCAAATTGGGACGTACATAATATACAAAAATTATTATTAAACAAAACATCAAAGCTCGTTTATTGTGACAAAATAGCTTATATATATGTAAACATGAACGATTGTTAGGGATGTTAGGTGGTTTATTCCAAACCGGTTTAAAACGGGTTTATGCTCAAACTACTATCAATCAATTATAATGACCAAGCTTAGCTCCGAGACTTCATTTAATAGTTTTCGTAACTACCTTTTTATCGCGTACTTTTCTTAATCTTCGCATAACATAATTGCAATATTATCAATTAAATAATGACAGACAATGCGCAAGTCAACACATCTATGGTTGAAAATGAACGTCAGGTAAATAAAGTAAGCTATACCATACAGTTTGGCAATATCTCTTTTGGAATATGGACAAAGCTTGTTTTACTTGTAATATATGTCAGCAAGAATACGTCAGAAAACAGAAGTTACTAGACACATAGTTATATTTCCAAATTAGAAAAATAATAGTCTAAACCAGGTTTTAAATCAGGTTTTAACTAGTTAGTTTAAACCGAATCTCAAGTAGTTCGAGACCTGTTTCTACTAGTTTGGAGCATAAACCGAACCGTTTGAGCAACTTAACATCACTAACGATTGTACATCTTAAGAATCAATTGTAATTATACATAATTCAGGATTTTAATTGTGATAAATACACTTTACGACGATTTGAGTTTTAGATGGTAACAAAATCCTCAAACGCCGCCGGATAGTTTGCAATATTTCAATGGATGAAAATAAAATGATTATGTTAGAAAATGCAAGTTAACTGTTTCTGGTTATGATATATTTCTTTCAGTATATGTATGCATTTGTGACAAAATTCAGATGTGCTTTATCCCTGATCTTTGAATTTAACAGATTTTCAATTATATCTTTAAGGCAAAAAGTGACGTTTGGATAATGAAAGCAGGCTGAATAACTTTATCTGTAATTTTTAACAGAGCGTAAATTTAATCTATTTTTTTTATATTATATTAACGGAGATGCAGGTTCGGGTAAAGTTCTACCAAAATTATTGGTAGCATGTTTCTCTGCGTAAAATTAACATCAAGAATAGCGGCGAGAGTTTGCTTAATATCGTACAAAAGAGCCACATGGAAAAATATTCAATAAAACACGAAGAATTTTTGGGAATTTCATTAGCTAACAAAGATGACATGTTTCCGAAAAAGTGATTGAAGGTAGCCTGTTTGTTTGTTTTCGTTTGTAAGTTTTAAATATGGGCTCTTCGTAGTAGAAAGGAAGTAAACTCCAAAATAATTTTTTTTGAGATAGGGTTATACCCTGGACTTATTTTACTAAAAAAATCATATATAGCAAATAAAACAAAATTTTATTTTGTAGTTTCCTCCCTTTATACTGCAAAGCGTCCATATTCTTATTTGATGCGAATAAAATCGATCCGATGTTTTGTTAAAAAGCTTGAATAGTTACTCGAATGTTATTTAATCGAGTTAAATAATATTGTATTTGTATCATTTGACAAATACGAAACCGTTAATCTTTCTATTCATTGTTATTTAGTGGGAAAATAATTAAAAGTTCCTAATCTAGACGAAATTCTCAATAATGATTTTTATAAGGATTTTTTTTTTATTAACATCTATTAGTTCATTAGATTTACTAAAAAATTTTACAAATAAGAATATAAGAATCCTAACATACGTAATAACTTTGGCATAATGTTTCAGAAGTTGCGGTTAATATTAACTTTTTTACATGGCATGGAAAAATAAGTATAAATTAAGCGCTATTCTACGTCTATAATATCCAGGTAATTCGAGTCGGTAAATAACGACCATGTTAATATAATGTATTTTTAAGAACATGTTGCAATTAATAAATATAATTTATAAGAATTAGCTATTAAAATAATTAAATAAATAATTAGCAAGTGAAAAGAATGCTGAAAAGCTTGTACCATTCATCGGGCCGCATCGGTAAGTTTTCTTTTTTTGATTCTCTTTTTTAGCGATTTCTTTAGGTTAAATGAATGCATAGGTAAGTTTTTTTTTGATTTTATTATTTCTTTTCTAGTCGCGTTGGATCACTGCGGGTCGTAGCAATTATATCTTTTTTTCCTTCCACTTTCGGAAGTTTTGGTTAATCATATGATCGTCGATCAAATGGAATGCCATTGTTCGAGTGCATAATATTATTGTATGACAGCTTTAGTTTAAGTAATTGATTGAATACATGAAAACTCTCTCTTTAAATTTTTCACTTAGATTTTAGTAGAAATGTCTGATAATAATGACGGTATTTAATGTTTTTTCTTTTCTAAAGACAAATATCCAAAAAAAATTTAAATTTGCAACACATTAATGGCTTCTAATATTAGAAGAATTAAAAGGTAAATCCATTTGTTTTAATTATATTTTACCTCAAAAATCATTTTTATTGATTATCTAATTCTGTAATTTAAACTCACTCAATTAAATTTTAACAAAAAATATTAATAATTAATAATATAATAGCCCGTAATTTAAATTATCAGCAGTATTTAATATTAATTAATTGAAAGTTAACTACATTTTTTATTTGAATAATAAATATAGAATGTAAGTTATTTTATTGTTTAATTATACTTTTTTATTATAATTTAAACTTAGCTAAATTTTTATTTAATTAAAAATTTAAAATTACAGTTCGT